CGGGCTCTGGGCTGGTTCCAGTGGGCGGATGCTCAATATCTGTTCAGGTTGTGGAGGGACTTGAGGGCGGCGGTGTTGCGACGATTTGGGCAAATGAGGTAGGTGGACCCGGTGGAGCAGCTCATTGCTCTCCGACAGAAGGGCATAGTGGCAGACTTTCGAGATGAGTTTGAAGCAACGGCCACCCAAATGAGGGGGATTCCTGACGCGATTTTCAAAGGAGCCTTCCTTCACGGGCTCAGAGAAGACATCAGGGCTGAGTTGAAAATGCATCGACCCAACAGTCTATACGACATGATGGACCTGGCCCATCAAGTGGAAGCCCGCAATGAAGCAGCGGATCGGGTCAGGAGATACCGGATGGGTCGTGGGCCTAGGGTTGACGCGTGGAATCGGCTAGGGGGGCCACATGAGGGCTAGATTTTTCTTCTCCCACTCCAGAGAGCAACCTTTGATCCAACACAGAGGCTACGGCAGGTGGACACGGGTCACGGCTGGGAACGGGGTTAGGAACAAACCCAGCTACAGGGGAGTCATCGGTGTTCTGACGGTTAACGGAGGAAGAGATGCAGTACCGACGAGCCCGGGGTCTTTGCTTCAAGTGTGATGAAAAGTTCGGCCCAGGTCACCGTTGCAAAAACCATCAGCTATAGGTGCTGATCTTGGCAAAGGAAAAAGAGTCCTCGGATGGACACGGCGGGACGGTCTGAGATCACTCCACGGACGAGGAAAATGACAAAGAGGAGGCTGCCGAGAGGGTGGACTTATCTCTCAACTTAATTCGTAGGGTGTCTTCTTCCAACAAGATGAAGCTCCAGGGACAACTTGGGGGTCATGAGGTTGTGGTGCTGGTGGAGAGTGGCGCCACGCACAGCTTCATTTCGGCCTCAGTGGTGGCGGAACTGCAACTGCCGGTCGATCATTCGGTAAGTCACAATATCTTAGTAGGGAACGGCTTGAGTCTTAAACAAACTGGCATCTGTAGAGGAGTGCAAGTGTGGATTCAGGGGCATCGGGTAGAGGAGGATTTCTTTTCTTTCGACTTAGGGGGAGTTGACTTGGTCCTGGGAGTGACTTGGCTGAGTACCCTCGGCGAGGTGAGGGCGGACTGGTCTAAGTTTTTAATTAAGTTTAGGGCAGGACCGACGTGGGTGATATGGCGATGGGACCTCAGTTTATGTTATGCCCTTGTGGAGATGAGTTATTTGATTCGAGCTCTTCCCTCGAACAGGGCAGGTTTGTTGGTGGAAGTATGTGAACTGGAATTGCAAGGAACGACAAGAAAAAAACAATTCCGGAGGAGGTTCGGGAGGTTTTTGGGGAGTTTGAGCGGGTGTTTGATAGTCCGATGGGGCTGCCACCACGCCAGGGACGTGATCACCGGATTATATTGCGGGAGGGAGCTGACCCCCCAAACGTGCAGCCGTATCGTTATCCACAGGTCCAAAAGGGGGAGATAGAGCGCTTAGTGTTGGATATGATGGCTGGCGAGATCATTTGGCTGAGTAGCAACCCTTACTCGAGCCCGGTACTCTTGGTTAAGAAGAAGGATAGAAGTTGGCGCTTTTACGTGGACCATCGCGCCTTGAACCAAGTAACCATTCCCGATAAGTTTCCAATACCCTTGATTGATGAGCTGTTGGACGAACTTCATGGGGCAGTAGTGTTCTCGAAATTAAATTTACAAGCAGGATATCACCAAATCAGGGTGCACGAGGCTAATGTGGAGAAGACAGCCTTTCGTACGCATCAGGGCCATTACGAATTCCTCGTCATGCCCTTCGGACTAACCAGTGCACCGGCCACCTTCTAGGCCCTCATGAACCGGATTTTTCGTGCTTACCTACGGAAATTCATCCTTGTATTCTTTGACGATATTCTGATGTACAGCCAGTCTTGGGAGGAACATCGCCATCACTTAGCCACTATCTTGGGAGTTTTACGGCAAGAGAAGCTATTTGCTAACAAGGAAAAGTGTTGTTTTGGCCAGCAACAGTTAGAGTATCTTGGCCACCTCATTTCAGGGCAAGGAGTGGCCGCTGACCCTTCTAAGATATAGGCAATCTCATCTTGGCCACCGTTAACGAATGTTTGGGAGGTGCACAGATTTTTGGGGCGCACCGGGTACTATCGTCGCTTCGTTAAGGGTTATGGAGTCCTCGCGAGGCCCTTGACGGAGTTGCTTAAAAAGAGTGGTTTGTTTGGACCGACGAGGCGGTGCGAGGTGACTCGCGCCTTTGAAGATCTTAAGATAGCAATGACCCATCTACCAATGTTGGCTATGCCATATTTTTTGAAAACGTTTGTGATAGAATCGGATGCCTCGGGGGTTGGTTTGGGCGCGGTCTTGATGCAAGACGGCAGGCCTATCGCCTTCTTTAGCGAGACCAGAAATGACGGCATTATTTACTGGGACACCACTTTGTGCTTCACACCAACCAGCAGAGTTTGCGTTTCCTGATGGGCCAACGCCAACTTGCCCCGAAGCAGCTGCGGTGGAAATCCAAGCTGCTTGGTTATGATTTTGAAGTGCAGTATAAGTTGGGGGCTGCCAACCGGGTTGCGGACGCGCTCTCCCATCGCGGTGACTGGGGTGATGTTTCCTTTGCCGCCTTCTCTATACCACACACGTGGGATTTCACCGCAATTCGATCGGAGCAACATGCGGAATCGGAATGGGCTTCTGTTATTGCCAAGCTCGAAGCAAGGGAGGTTCTTGAAGCTTATTCGTTGAAGAATGATTTACTGTTTTACAAGAACAGATTGGTATTGGTGGAGCAATCTCCGTAGATACCTCGGTTATTTCACGAGTTTCATGATTCGGTAATCAGCGGACATTCAGGCTTCCTGTGCACATACAAGCGGCTGTCCGCGCTGGGTTTTTGGTGGGGAATGAAGCGTCGGATCAGGGAATATGTGGCTACCTGCGAAACTTGCCAAAGGAACAAAACAAATGCCTTGTCTCCTACCGGCCTCCTACAACCCTTGCTGATTCCAAATCAGGTTTGGGAAGACATATCTATGGACTTCATCGGGGGCCTTCCCAAGTCTAATGGATTCGACACAATCTTAGTGGTGTTTGACCGCTTGTCAAAATATGCTCACTTCTGCCCTTTGGTTCACCCCTTCTCGGCTAAGCAGGTGGCTATCCTATTCATCTTTTCTATCGTCAAGCTCCATGGCATTCCACGGTCCATTGTGAGTGATGGGGATTCAGTTTTTATGAGCGGGTTTTGGCGCGAGTTGTTCAAATTGTAGGGAACCAAGCTGTGTGCCAGTTCGGCTTACCACTCGGAGTCCGGTGGCCAAACCGAGGTCATTAATCGATGCTTAGAGACATACTTACGGTGCTTTGCGGGAGATAAGCCTCGACAATGGTCCGCGTTCATTCCATGGGCCGAGTATTGGTTCAACACTACCTTTAATGCGTCCACTAAGTTCACTCCCTTTCGCATTGTTTATGGCCGCGATCCCCCTGCTCTGCTTCGCTTCTCTAACTCTCTCGGCACTATGGCAGCAGTGGAAGCCCAGCTGGCACTGCGGAATGAGATGTTGGACCTCCTAAAATCCCATCTGCTTTTAGCTCAGCAACGTATGAAGAAATTCACCGATACTCACCGACGGGAATTGAATTTTGAGGTGGGTGAATTGGTTTTGCTTAAACTTCGGCCTTATAGGCTTAAGTCACTTGCTCGTCGCGTAAATGAGAAGCTTGCCCCGCGCTTCTATGGGCCGTTTAAGATTTTGGACAGGATTGGATCAGTGGCGTATCGTTTGCAGTTGCCAGCAGATGCTCGCCTCCACCATGTTTTCCACGTTTCCCAGTTGAAGCCCTTCAAAGGTCACACTTCTCAGGTGCAGCCTCTTCCAGCGCAGCTCTTCGATGACTTAGAGTTGTGTGTCCAACCAGCAAAAGTACTAGCATCCCGAGTGGTGGTTGTGGGTGGTTGCGATGAACCGGAGGTGCTCATCAAATGGCATGACCTACCAGATTGGGAGTCCACATGGGAGCCTGTGGCTGCTGTCCGCTTGCAGTTCCCTTCCTTCAACCTTGAGGACAAGGTTGTTTTCAAAGGGGTGAGGACAAGGTTGTTTTCAGGGAAAATCCACAAGTATCCGTTCTCTTCTCTCGAAATCCCTCCTTTCCAACTCTCTCTACATATTAGAAATATAAAAAAACTTTCTTCCTAAACGCAGGACGAGAATCGAAACAAGAGAGCATCCCAGCCAGGTAATGGGCCGAGCTATGGTGAATTCCAATGTGATGATATTCAGCATGTTAGACCACCTATCAGGTTGGTCTACTCTAGGAAAAAGGGCCAAAGGGGGAATACGTTAGGTCTGGGGGAAGGAAGTGGAAATATGAGAAAGGGGTGCTGAGGTGGCAAGTTGGTTACGGGCTGGAGGTGGCAAGTTGGTTACGGGCTGGAGGTGGCAAGTTGGTTACGGGCTGGAGGTGGCAAGTTGGTTACGGGCTGGAGGTGGCAAGTTGGTTACGGGCTGGAGGTGGCAAGTTGGTTACGGGCTGGAGGTGGCAAGTTGGTTACGGGCTGGAGGTGGCAAGTTGGTTACGGGCTGGAGGTGGCAAGTTGGTTACGGGCTGGAGGTGGCAAGTTGGTTACGGGCTGGAGGTGGCAAGTTGGTTACGGGAGGGTGAGCTAGGAAGTATTTAGGCGGTGTAGTGGCCTGGGAATTGGTGTTTGTGAATTGGGAAACTTTTTAACAGACCGTGAGAGGAAGGAGAACCTCAAATTCCCCATTGTTCATTTTTACTTTCTGTTTTATTTTTCATCGCTCGTTGATATAAGAAAACTCCTCTCCAGAGAAAGTTGAGAGTGAAATTAATAAAAGAAGCAACACTCATTTCCAAGTTTACCTCTATACTTGCTGTTATTATCTAAAAACTACGCAGGAACCTAACAAGACCTTAATGAGAACGGTGTAGAAAATTAAGTGGAATTAGATAAGGCAACGAATAGTGGTGAGACTTTTATTGGGGGAAAAAAAAAGGTAAAAAATTTTAGATTGAAAATGAACATTCATTGAGAGAGAAAAAAAAAAGTTTCAGGGAAAATCCACAAGTATCCGTTCTCTTCTCTCGAAATCCCTCCTTTCCGACTCTCTCTCTACAAATTAGAAATATAAAAAACTTCCTTCCTGAACGCAGGACAAGAATCGAAACAAGAGAGCGTCCCAGCCAGGTAATGGGCAGAGCTATGGTGAATTCCAATGTGATGATATTCAGCATGTTACTGCAACTTGTCTTCACCAATTCTGCATCAACTCTAAGGATGGCTCCCGCAGCAGCCAACCAGTTGTTCAAATTACAGGGAACGGAAAAGAAATCTCAGCCTCATGAAGCAAAACTTGAGGTCATAATGCCTTCCTGCTTCTTTTCCGAAACCGAAATAATTAATATTCGATGTTCATTGGCGCAGTATCTGCTGCAGCTGTAGAACTTGGTTTCTCTGCTCAGGAGGCAGGAGGTTAATTTGTTCTGGTGTGAGGCTCATGACCTGTTGAAGCAGGGCCTTCTCCATCTCGGGGGTCAACTGTGCAATGAGCAGAAGTCGGGCCAAATTATTTAATTAGAAAACAAGGTCATGCGTAAAAGCTCCAACCAAGGAGGAAGTTTAACAGTAGCAGAGATATTACCGATGGGGGCCGAGCAGACTGATTGCCAGGGCCCATCTGGCCCGGAACTAATGGTGGTGGTGCTGCTGAGAGCTGTGTTAGTGCTGGATTTTCTGGCGGAGCAGACATCCATGCAGATCCTCTATCTGCTTGCATGTTACTTCCAACTTGATTATTGAATTCTGTTCCAGCCTGAAGGAAAAATAGCATTGGATAAGCATAAAAGGATCACCAATCACGGAAAAACTGATTCACAAGCAGACGTGCTAATAAGTAAGACATGATGGCATCCAGATGTACCCACGTTGCATCTTCCAACATTAAGTGATGCATAATAAATGAAAAAAGCTTAAACGGCTTCCAAGTCTGAAATCAGAGCTAATGTTTCCAATCTACTCAAGTTTCTCTGTAATGAGTTGCATAACAATTTATGTTTTATATTCCTTTTTAAAACAAGACTTGAATGAGGCTGACTAGGCTTGGTCAGACCTGTCCGTTTGTAAAGGAGAAAATCATGGCGTCTATCAGAAAGCCAAAGTAAACAAAAAAACTTGGAATCTAGTCGTAAAAGAACTATTTCAAAAATAGAATCAGATCATTAAAGGGAAAATATACACAAACCTGATACACTGATTGTGGAGGTGGCTGACTTGGTAGTGGAAGCTGTGCATGTGGAAACGATGGCCCAAGGTTAGGAGGCCTAGTACCTGGCTGAACAATTTTTGAACAAAAGAAAATCAGTCACCAATCGTGTACTATGCAATAACCAGAATCAGTTCAGGACATGGTGATCTCTGCTTACATGATATGGAGGCTGTGAAAGATGCTGAGGAGCGCCAGGATGTTGGAAGCCCATATTAGCTGACATTTGTGGTGGATACTGATGTTGGAAAGTAGCCATTGAAGGTGGTCTTGGTTGTGGTGGCAATGGTGTTTGTAGTGGCATATGCGGGATCCCTGTTGTCGGCAAGGACTGTTGCAACTGGCTGGATGCTGTAGGCATATGGGATTGATGAAGCTGAGGTAATTGTGAAGAAGAATGAAGAGGAAGAGCAGGGACATTAGGAAGCTGAGAAGATTGTGGAAGAGATGTTGGAGTAACCTGGGCATTCAAATGCCCTTTAGGTTGTTGTGGTGTCTGCAGGGGATGTAAAGGCATAGGCTGAGATGGTATATTTACACCAGGAATTGCGGTAGATGTAGCCATTACAGGTTGGTACTGATGTTGCATCCGTGCAGGAGTTCGAATCTGAGGTGCACCAGTTTGGTCTTTCAGACCCACTTGACCTGACAATGCCTGAGTAGCCTGTACGTTTGATTGCTGAGTAGCTTGTGTTAATTGCTGAGAAGGTTGTGAAGGTGGAGGCTGAATGTTTGGAATCTGGGAATATAAGCATGGAATATACATAAATGGACCAATAAAAATTAAAACCTCAACAACAAATCTCTTTTATTATTATTTATTTTTTGAAAGACAGAAGGCACTATACCACTTGAGGAGGCTGCACCATTCCAAGCATTATCTGCGCCTAGAGAACCAAGATGAGATGAAGTTACTCAGCAGTCAAGAAGTAATTGAGTTAAAAGGGTGTGTTTCTCAGCTGCATATCACTAGTGAACCATGTAAAGCACCTTTACCGATCAACAGGTATGCTACTACAATACTTCATGGACATGCACAAAAAACATATTTTTGTATCCATACTTTTCCATATTCAAATTTAGGCAAAACCACAAATGATGCTTAAAATTAATTGCCCGGCATAACTTTCCCGAGGCACGAGTGTTACTGGACAAGAAAATTCAACAATTGACGCTGAACTTAAAAACAACGACATTTTCCTCAACCATGCAATACGTGAGAGAAAAATATTTAAATGTGGGAAATCCTTTGTTAACAACTGCCACTAAGCCTCAATTTCCGAGAAAAGATAGAAATTTATCCAAAACAAACGCTGGCAGATGGGGTATCCCCTTGTGAAAAAAGAATGGAAGTTAACAAGATTTCAGCTATATTTTCTAAATGTAACAAAAGAGACTAAAGGCTTCCCATTTCCTTTCTTCTTTCTATAGACGGGATTGCCTCAGGAAGGCATACTTAGCATATGAAACAAAAACATCAAAGTGCTAGCAACCACTGTTGCAAGTTGCTCAGGTCACGTTCTTTTCGTAGATTTGAATCACAATGCAATCTTTTTTGCTACAGTGTTCGCTCTTACAAAAACTGGAATTTTAGTTCAAATTTTCTATTCAAACCTATGAAAAGAAAAGAACAGTGGTGGCTTGCGGCCAGAATTGCTGACAAAGTTACATACTTGGTAAGACTACAATAAACATGAAGAAATCCCAGCATCACTGGAAAAGGTACTTAAAAAATTAACATGAAAATTTGATAATTTGGTACTTTGAAATTGTTCATCAACAATCATAAAACCCTATCCATTATTAGCATGAAAATTTGAAATCTAATTGACCCCAAAAACCCCCAAACAAACAAAGACTAAACCCTAATTGCCCCAATCCACTCTGGATAAAAAGCCATCAAATTTCACGGAAGATTATAAAGAAAGTAAGAACAAAAACAAGAAACAATAGTTATAGAAAACCTGAAAAAGAGCTTTAGTGAGAAGCGGGTTCTGGATGAGGATCTGCCTCGCCTGTTGCTGGTTCTGTTCGATCAACGTCTGCAAGAAGAGAGAGAAATAGAAAAAAAAATTAATGAAAATAAATGAAAATCAAAGAAAGCGAATGAAGAAATTGTTTTCTAGGTCATGTGAGAAAACGAAATTCAGCGAGGAATGAGCGGAGATAGAAAGACAAATGGGAAGTGAGAGAAGAGAGAAAGAACCTTCATCTGAGACATGATTTCGTAGAGCTGGTTTTTGGACATTCCGGTGAGATTCGCCGACAAGCCGTCGCCGGCGACTTGCTTTCCCATTCCCGCCATTGTCAGGGCTGAGACTCAGAGACACAGTTCTGCTTGCGGGTATTGGCTAATAGGAGAGTTTCTTCAAGGGTGAATTTGGTTCGATGGGAATTATTAAAAAAAAAAAACGTTGGTTCGATAGGAGCTGGAGATCAAAGTTGGGCCGGCACTAGCCCAAATTAGTGTAGGATGAAATGGAAAGAGAACATTTTGAAAGGGCTTTAGAGGAAGCTGTCACAAGTTTATTTAAAATGTTAAATATACTCTTAGGATACTAGTCAGGATCCGATCACTATATCATATCTGACCTAGATGCATGCCAGTATCCGGCTACAAAAGCAATATCCAATCAAGATTTCTGACAATAACCGGTGAACAACCGCAATATTGATGATAGTAGTTGACGGAATATCGCTATTTAGTTAAGATACCAGGAAATATTTGTCGCGATATAGGTTACCAATCGGTGACCACCGAGTCACCGACTGGTAACCACCGAGTTAATAGCCCGCTCTGCCCACATCAGATGTTTTAGGGAGGCGTGAGGGAGATTTGGAAATATGGCAGAAAAACTGACAGTTTTCCCCTGTGTACATGTCGATCCACATATGTTTTTCGTGACATTTTTCCTGAGTATCTCATTTTGAAAAATAGAGAAAAGTACGTGGTTTACCATGATTTTCTAAAGACCTATTATTTATATCATTTTAAATTATTATATATCATTGTGACTTTTTATTTTCTTCTTATGAATTAAATGACACTTGTTTATTTTTTAGTGGAGTAGTATAAATAATATTTTTTTACCATCTTGAGAGGTATTTTGGGTTTTTTCCCTTTAAAATATTTTGAGAAAATTGCTCAACTTATTAGCGCATAGTCTAGATTTTTATGTCTTACGTTTGATTAATATCCTTTTGACTAATATAGCTATTTAATTAAAAAAATATTAATCAAAGGATAAAAATTCATACTCATGCTCTTTAAGGATATTTGTCTCTTTTTTTGCCAATATTTTTTTACAAAAATTATAGTAAATAGCACCTTTATGAAACTAAATTAAATAAATAAAATTATTTTAAAAAATAATTGAAATGAATAACAGTTTACGTGTAAATTTTTTATTTTACGTCTGGTAAAAATTATTTAACGTGGTAAAAAATCTTTATTTACGTAAAAAAAATCTTTTTACGAATCATATAAAGAAAATTTACGTGAAAAATCAAACATTAAACTACAGATCCATTTAAAAGGAAAAAAAGATAGAGAAACAATCAGATCAAGATCCACTCTAACAACCAAAACGCAGAGATTTTTCAGCACGTGGAATTTAGAATTATCATTAAAACCCAATAATTTTTTAATGTAAACAAATCAATTAAAAAAAACATTAATCTAGAAAATAAAAAAGAAAGGAAAAGCCATGAATAATGTTGGTGGTCTGATCTACATCATTTTCCCGATCACTGTTCTGCCAATCTCCTTGTCAAACAACCTTAAGTCGCTGAATAACACTCACTAACCTAGCCGAACAGGGCAACATGACGTCCTTTGTTGTTCATTGATGTCTCTCAGTTTGGTAAGAGCTCGACAAGGCTAGTTCTCACCCATACATCGTGGGTGACATTAAGGAAAGTGTGTTCCGTACACAACATCTCATTTGAGGTCATCTCCACCCTTAGATACAATACAACTTGTGTGGATCAGTGACACCTATACATAGGGCTGACAGGACCGTACAACCGTACTTGAGTGCCCAACATGGATCATCCCGGATCCAACGACAAACTAGAAACACCACACATGCATTTATTGAAGTATGGACAGTTTGTTTACCTAGCCATGCCCACTCATTCATTGCTTACGATCAGAATGCTAACTTGAGCATTGGCAAACACCATTATAGTGTCCCCTTAACTCTGAAGACACTTGCTCTTTGGTGTAACATAGTGTTATCCTCATTCCTGGACAGAAGAACACTAAGTTGAGAGTTCGACCAAATTCGATAGAGAAAAGGAGAGTCTGACCACCTTACGCAGCCGCACGTGGTGTTGTATCATATTTGAACATTAACAATTTAGCACTAGAAGGAGGGCCCTGTGTTTTTTCGGCTTACATTTTACACTTCTTACCCCTGGTAAGAAAGACCAAGCAAACAATAACAAAAAACACGCACCCGAGCGGACGGCCACAAACTCAAGAAGTGCTCAGTCAAAACGTGACCAGAGCAGACCCCCAGGTAGAGCAACTTGCTGCTCAGGTTCGGAACCTTATCGAGACAGTTCAACGGCTCGTCTAAGCTGTTTAGGTCTAAAACAAGCTCACCCCGACCCAGCCCAATAAGGACGAAGCCCTACTAGAGCAGAAAGAAGAAGATCAACAGTCTGTTGGGTCTGAATGGTCAAGGAGTTGATTTACTCACCGATAAGGTGCTAGATCCGAATAGGCCAGTTCAGCCAAGTAGACAAACGACCGACGACCCAAAGGGGTCCTAATACGATTAGTCTCCAAGCAATGTATCTGCAATTGGTTAGGCAATGAAAGGGCCGAAAGGTCCAAGCGTGATGCTGAGGAAGCTGAATGGGACTCGAACAAGTTAGTCAGCTGAGCATAATCAAGCTGCAGAGAAAATTCTGAAGGTGACTAGGCTAGAGACATCTGAGCCCTTAAGAGATAAGTCGATCTCCTTACGAGTCGTTGAGATGGGTTAAAGAATGTTAGGATGGTAGATCTTTCATTCACCGAAGACATCGTGACCGCTCCAACAAGTTCAAAATACCAAAAATCACAATATATAACGACACTATTAATGCCGATGAGCATCTGGAGAATTACCAGGAACACACATTATTGCAAAACGCAAGCAATACAACCATGTGTAAGTCATTCATGTTAGTATTTATGCCCTTAAGAATAAATGTAACAATGCATCTGAGACATTTTGATTATTAATAAAGATTTATTTATTTCATATATCTATGTATTGTCCTCTTTACATTCATATTAGTTGAATGTATGATAAGAAAACTGAAGTCTGAGACTGTCACTCTAAGTCTTTAGATCATACATGTAATGAGTAGAACATGTAGAAGATATGAATCTAAAGATGATAGTTTAAAGGATATGATCCATAATCGAAGGAAAAAAATTTGGCACTTTATTCATGTTAAGATTGTTATGTTGTCTATTTCCTAATGAAGACGACTTGTCTTAGTCATCGGAGGTGGGACTCCATGGGTAGAGAGATTGATATAGTTTGTAGTGGTGGAATCTATATTAGATCAGACCAAAGATGAATTGTTCTAATTAATAATTTCGTTTGAATAAAACAATTCACTTTTGATAAATTATATGTGATCATCTTAATCCTGAGATGAATAATAAACTCGTATATTTGACTTGTATTTTTTTATCTACCAAAGGGAGACATCATGACATTACGTAAAGGTACGCTTACCGGTACGTTGGAGGTATAACTCTTGTATGCGTAGATTTATTATTCATAGATAAAGAATCCATAGATCCTTTAAAGAGTTAATGATATCCTCTTATGGCATTATCTCGGGATTGGAAAACATGAGCTCTCAGCCATTAGATTACTTTATGTTATCTATTGGTTTACTATTTGTATTGGTATGAATAATGGTTTTTTAATGGAGTGGTAATGGATCAAAAGATAAATATAATCGAGAAGGTAAAACAGAACTTGACCTTAAGTCGATTATGGATATCGGAATGATACACTAATATAATGAGTCATGGATGAAAGCTAATCGAAGCTTTGTAAATATGTTATATAGTTCGAGAGTGCAGCTCTAGGCTTTTAGTGGAATAACACTAGAGTTTAAATCATGAGATGGACTTTTTAGATTACAAGTACTGTTGTGATTATAGGAGCTTGATCTATATATGTCGATCGGGTCCCTTTGCTAGCTCACATAATTTCCTGAAACGATACGGCTTATTTCCTGTATTGGTAACTTGTGTTATTTCTGTAATTGGTTCAAAGTCTATATAAGATCTGTTATTAATTCATAAGTAATTTATCAGGTAAATTAATTGTTAAGTTAATTATAGATAAATTAGTTGAATTATTGTTTTGAGTTTTATTTAATATGGAAAGACTATTGCATGACTGTTTTGACTAGGTAACTTCCCCCATTGGGTTACTTCAGTCAAAACTGACGCTCTAGTGTAAGTTTTCCGTATTGAATAGCTTGAGAAATAAGTTTCCCGTATTGGTGACCGGTCAACCAGTGAGTAGACCGGTGTAGTGGTAACCGGTCGACCGGTGGAGACATGAAAAATGTTATTGATGTGACAAAATCAACTTTGTACGCAAGACTTATTGGGGGCTTTTGGTAAGGGTTCCTTAGAGGAAAAATTGTTTAATTCTCGAGAACAATTTTTCCTTTAGCTCTCTTGTGGTTGGTAAGGAGTTCAAGAATACCAGGAAGAGATTAAACGACGTGTCCTCACTCCCACTCTGGTCGTGTAAATGAGAATATCAAAGAAGACCAGCTGGTTGAGGCTCTTCGGGTTACTGTTTAGAACGCTTTAATCTGTCAAAAGTGTTGTTTCTGAAATCTCTGAATGTCTAAATTTAATTATTAAACACATCACTATTTTTTACTTTTTTTTTAACTTCTTAACATTTTTGTCTAAATTTTTTTACCAACAACATAATCATCATCACATCAAAATTATCATACAAATTTCAATTCTACCACATTCAATTCCAATTCTAATTTATAATCTACCACATTCAATTCCAATTCTAATTTATATTCTACCACATTCAATTCTAATTTACAATCTACCACTTCACAATTCCACCCCATTCAATTCTAATTCTAATTTACCACATTCACAATCTACCAACAACATCTAAATACATCCAAAATCACAAACCAAATTCAAAATCCAAAACAAAACCACAAACCACAACCAAAATAAAAAAATCAATTTACAAAATAACAAAAATATTAACTCATAAAATCCAAACCCACAAACACCTGGGGTTGGAAAACGGTAAGGCAGCAGGGCTGCGAGGGCGATGGAGGCTGGAAAAGGAGGATGACAGTCGAAAAAGTGGGCCGCAACGGCGAGGTGAAAACACTGTTGTTTTGGGCTTTTTCGAAAAAAATTTCTCCACAAATGAAAGATTTGAAGAGAGAATGATAGATTTGAGCTTTTTTTAGAGTTTTGGGATGGTTTCTAGAGATTTTAGACGGAGAGGGAGGGAGAAAACCGAGAGGGTCACCGGAAAAAATGGAGAAAAGAGTTCTGTGATCGCGTTTATACATGTGGCTTTTTGCGACGAAATATTATCGTCGCAAAAAATGACATATTGTCGTCGCAATTAATATCAAAACGACGTCGTTCTTCTTAACCTCATTAATATTTCTGAGCATATTCTTGGAGAATATACCTATATTCCTTATTTGCAACGACTTTTTAATATAGTCGTCGTAAATATTTTTCGGGAAACCGCCAAAATTTTCCGTTTTTTTTCATGAGAGATTAAGTTCGATCAATATTTGCGACGACAGTTCATACGTGTCATCGCAAAAATTACTTGTGGGTGGAAGAATTTTTTGGAACTCCTATTTGTGATGACAGTTCACACATGTCATCGCCAAAAATGAAGAATTTTCTACAACTAATTTTTGAGAAATTGCCAAATTTTTTGCCTTTTTTGGCCACGTCACTGTCAGCTGTAACCCTGACTATTAGTGACGACTTGTCATTGCAATTAATGGACAAATTGGCACTAAACATGTTAGCGCCAGATTACTTTTGGCACCAATAAATTTTGACGACGACATGCTGTCACAAATACTATTCTCGGGTTTAGCGACGACATGTCGTCACAAATATTTACATATTTGTGACCACAAGTCCTTGCAAATATTAAATGCGACGAAACGTCGTTCAAAATTTTTGTTTCCTTTATTGTGACGACATGTTTAACAACGACAAATATCGTCTCTAATAACCCTTTTTGTTGTAGTGAGTGTCACCCTTTTAGTACCTGCATCAACACTTGTGGAACTCAAATTTGTCTCCCTTGTTGATTTATATGCACCAATTAGAGGGAGAGGAGGGTGCAAGTACTTAAAACACACAAAATAGAATCCCAACAGGAAATATTTTTCTTCTTAGTTGAGATTTTTGCTTTAGCATTACGTACACAGGTGAAAACTGACGCGTTAGATGAACCAACTTAGAATATGGAACATATACAATAAAACACAACCCATAATGAAAATAGCTACGTAGGAAGTTCTCCCTTATTATTTCTAACATTATTCAAAGATCCGACATTGAACTACATCAACTGAACAAAGTTACAACTTAGTACAACAGAAAAGAAATGATACATGTATAATACTTGTAACATATTATAATAAGCTTAGCAATGTCTCTGAAATGTCCCAACAGTACTCATCAGAGACATGGAATATTTCCAATTCACAGCTATACTTTCAGAAATATCAACAACACTGATCATCGAACAACTTTACAATTTTTTGTTAGCTTTTACAGTACTTTCAAAGACTTCGTAATCTCTATAGCTTCACCAAACGGAGTCCAAGTTGAATGGTTGCTCCTGCTGCTGTACTTGCGACGCAGAATCTACGATTTTACTACTATTCATCATCTTGGATGATGAAGAAGAAGAAGAACCTAACTTGAAATTTGTAGTGGTGTTTAAATCATGAATATCTGTCCCAAAATGAGAAACTCCTTGTGGCATGTTATACGAGTAGTTATCTGTACTTGGTTGAGTATAAGTACTAGCACTATTCCTGAGCTGTAACGCCTTGAGAAGGAAAGAGTTCATCGAAAGATTGGGACTTAGTAAGTTCGAAGGCCAGGATGAGAGCGGTGGAAGAGGATTACTGTTAGTCCAATTCATGTTGTTTAGGCTCATCATGTTGTTGTTGGTCAGGAAACCTTGTGTGGAGATAATATTGTTGTTGCTGAGAAAACCGCCGGATGATGAGTTTGCGATGGCGTTGAGATTTGGGAGCTCAATGTCTCCATATTCGTTTGCGATTGAGTTTCCGTCGTCGCATGGGGACTCGATTGATGGATCGCGAGAGGATGCCGCTTGCTGCGGCTTTTTCATGGCAGTGCTCTTTTGGAAAACCCTACAAACCACCCATTCTTCCTGCCAAAAATATATAATATATATCACCCGAATTTTTCGTCAGGAATTGATAAAATAATAAAGGAAAAATACTAAATATTATGCATGGCCTCATATATAATCGACCCAGAGTGATTTAGGGTACTACGCAAGATTTATTGTTGATATGATCTTTCTAATTATGATCCATCTGGTCTTTATTGATTGAGCGTATTGGAGGTTATTTGTTTCTTTGTTTTTTCTTATTATGAAAAACTTCCTGTTTTCAATCAATTTTGTTCATCACAGTAATAAGTTTTAATGCATGGCCTTTACATATCTTGTTTCTTAGTGTTATGTTCACGCTAATAATATCAGGCTCACTTAGTGGCTTTCACTTTCTAATATGCTATATAATATATATGCTGTCACATATATAGGTGCATCTAGCTTGTCGTGATGTGTATAACACTACTTATCCATTAGTGACATACTACTTTTAATTATTTAGTTGTAAAAAAGTCTGAATTATCACAGTTGCTGGTGAGATCATCAGTGCATTGCATCAGTACAGATAAATTATGCATGCTAATCTTAGACCTGTTTGGTTTCATAAATACACATGTTGTGATAAGCCATATTCATGATTAGTAGTAGTGTATTAATGTTTGGTTCATAGATTCAGAATTATGATTCATAACCATTCTCGATTTACAAGAAAAAATACTGTATCGAACCACGAACCATGATTCGAATCATGGCACGAATCCACTAATCAAACGCTAATGCTCCATAAAAGATATCATATACATATAAATATATATATATATATGTGTGTGTGTCTATGTTAATTATTAGCATTTACAATGACATGATATATGTTTTGAGATTTATATGATCTACCTTTGTGTTCTTGAAGGGATGCTTGTTTTCTAGCCTGTATTCATGCATAACCCAGTTGCTCTTCTCACCCCTTGGAGCCCTACCCTTGTAAAATACTAGGGTTTTCTTCATCCCAACAAGTACACCTGCTCGAAAAATTTCCTTGTCTTTCCCTGTAGTCTTCCAATATCCGGCTTCCGTGGCTCGGTTGGTTCGGAGTCCGGTTGGGTATTTTCGGTCTTTCAAGCTGAAAAAGTACCATTCTTTCTCTCCCATGGAAGCCTTGTCTACACGCCACAACATGGAATATCATGGAGCTTTGTCATTATTTGAACAAATTTTGTAATCATTTATTTTATACTTGTAATCAATCAATCAAAGTAAATTATTTTGGAGTTAAGCGGAACATAGATATCCACATAATGTTTAGGCATGTGATTTATTAGCCAATGATTAATCATATATACAAATTATTGTGCAATCAAAGTTATGAGGGAAAAGAAAAAAGAAAAAAAAAAAGGTAAAACTCATCCATATATATATTTCTTATACGCTAAGGAATTAATCAATATTTTTCGTCAACTATAAATGATGTTTCTTCGTTCAAAAAAAAATCTTAATTATTGGAAAAAAGATTTATGCACTACCTTTTCTATTTAATTAGTCAAATTATTTGCAAAAGTCTACTGTTTTCTCTTTCTAACTAATCCACAGACCTCACAAAAAAAAAAAAAAAAAAAAAAAGTCGACAAACCAAATTTGGAAAAGTTGAATAAATGGATTGTGCAATGAGGAAGAGAGGGAAAAAAAAAAAAAAAAGAAAAAACCCATTTTGCAATTTAAAAAAAAAAAAAAAAAAAAAAAAAAAAAAAAAAAAAAACTCCTAGGAAAGACAGCCGAATTTACATGATCACCATCCCCATTCTGGAATGATTACTAATTGAAGCAAACGAATAAATTAGCTGCAGGCTGAAAACAACTTCATTTCTGCGAAACCGAGAACCATCAAAATCTAACAAAGTATTAAAAAAAATATAAAAAAAAAAACCCTACCAAAAGTCAATTAAGAGAAATTAGAAGCAACTTAGAGACGAAGCATAAAAAAACTTCAAACTACCTGGAAGGTCCCAAGGTTCACACTTGTTAAGATCAACAACAGCAACAGCTTTGGACGTGAAACCCAAATCGGAAACCTTACGAGCTAAGTAGCAGGTGATGAGTTCTTCATCGGTCGGATGAAATCTAAATCCCGGGGGAAGAGTTTCCTCCATATCTCTCCTAATTAATTAGTTTCTTCAACACCCAAAGAAGGAAAGAACACTGAACAAGAACTTAGATTTATATCCGAATCTCATTAATTGCTCAATATTCTATAAAAATCTCAAAGATGTACGGTATTAATGGGGAGTACGATTTGCGTTCTAGTTCAAACTTCAACAAGAAGCTCCCATAACCAAGTATTATTTTTTTATAAATTCAATTAATTATTTTCCTGTAATTACAGCTAACACTTTGACAAAGATGCCTCGTGGTAGCGACAATTTCTCACGCGTGAGAAGTTACCAAAATGCCACCACTAAATTAGCCTATGGCAAAATTTGTCTCCTGATCTTGGAAGGGTATTTTTGGGTTATTGCCCTGAACTACACAACACCTGCGACATTGACTTGAATGAGAGAAACAAATTCAACAGCAGATATGAAAACTATGTGATATGTTATAGTTTTATATAAATATATATATATATATATATATTGAAGTGAAATAATCGTTTTAAGTGCACAAAATATTATGGGCTAGCTAGTCGAGTCTCTGTTACACCAAAATTGAGATTATGTTTGTTAATTTCTTCTATTGTCCCGCCCAACCACCTTCACCCATTTTCACCCACCGAACCCTCGCTGGCTAATTCACACTTATCCAATGAGAACAAACATATTATGGCATTTAACACTAAGACAATCGCTATCAATGCATATTGTCTATAACATATTTTATTGACACTTGTTGGCGGCTTTAGTCATATCTTTCCTCGTGATTACAACACGTATGTGATCATTTATTTTGACCATTTGTGCTTTCATTTTTTTTTTTGGGAAATTTTTACTGTAGCACTAGGTCTTTGTTCTTCTTAACTACTTGTAAATACTGTTGTTTTAATTATTGGGCTAAGTTTTCAATGACCTTATTTGTGATTGTAGTAATTACGTGTAACACGCTACAAATTTTAAGCATATACACTCATAAATCAAATCATAAAATCTTAATTTAATGATTAAAACTAGGGATGACAATTCGTGTTGACGGGTCGTGTTCGTGTCGTATTGACCCCCTCAATTGACACGAATAGGCTTGACACGAACACGACCCGTTTATTAATCGTATCGAAATATAAAACCCAAACACGACATGTATATTAGCATGTTGACATGACACGAATAACCCGTTTATTAAACAGGTCATAAACGCGTCGTGTCAACCCGTTGATTACCTGTCAACCCGTTTATAAAATAGGTGATAAATTGGCCGTATTAACCTATTTCTTAACCTATTTTTGAACATGTTTTATAAAATAGATAATAAATGGGTCGTGTTAACCTATTTTTGAACCTATTTTTGAGCTTGTTTATAAAATGGGTAATAAACAGGTTGTGTATTCGTGTTACCTAAATATGACACGTTTAATAAACGGATTATGGCGGGTCAATTGCGGGTTGGCGGGTTAACCTAAAAATGACACGTTATTTAATCGTGTTTGACGAGTTCGACCTGATTTTGACCCGGATCTATTTATGATAAACTCAAACCTGTTAATTTTGTGCAAGTTTTGAGTCGTGTCGTTGTATCGTTACCTGAATTGTCAGCCCTAATTAAAACAATACTTTATACTATTAAAAGGATAATTTTTATTATACGAGTTCCTTGTTTTATTTTATTTTTTTGTTTTTGGTAGGGAAGATTTATTAATTTAGGTGCTTCATCTAGAAAAGTTTACTACGTGGCATGTAAGTACAAATTCCAGCTAGCATATAGAGTATCTGATAAATTGACACTCTCGAGATCTTACGGTTGTTAGAGTTATGTACTTTTTTTATTTTTCTTACTATAAAAATTTGAGACAAATTACCATATGGAGTGGTTAAAAGGATTACCAACCAACATGACTGTTTCTTGGCCTTGGTCATTGTTTCTGTTGGGCCATTTCGTCCATTCATCATCTCTTTTTGTCTTCGAAGCTTCCTTATATTCAATCCTAACAAGATTTTCTCATGGATTTTATCTAGACACTGTAGTCTGTAGGGTTTCTAGAAACACATACACGCACACACAGATATATAAATATATATATATGTGTGTGTGTGTGTGTGTTGATTAAAAATTTCATCACGTTTTAGAGGACTTTGCTTTAGTATCCTTTTTATCCACACGTATACGTACAAACATATCTAGCTATTGTGTAGATATCCAAAGCATTAAGGAAAAGAGAAAAATACCTTTTAAAATTACATGAGTCATTATTTTTATCATTTATTTTTAATTAATAACCTTTTTAGTTAAATAACTATACTCGTAAAAGTGTATTAATAAAAAATGAGAAATAAGAATTTAAACTCAAACACTCTTAAAAGTAAATTCTATAATTTTTTCTTTTAACCCCTTAACCCCCCCTAACCCCACAACCCGACTTAACACCTTAAACATACTAATCGGAAAGCCAACCACATCACTAGGTTTTGTGATTCACATAGATAACATTAGTTAAAATGCATGCCAAAAACCATAAGTAATTGCTAACATTATAACACAATTATTTATCAAAAAAAAAAATTAACAGTAAAATTGTCGCCAAACAAAACCAGCTATATATATATTGGGCAAAAGAGAAGCACTACCAAAAAAATTGAAAAAAAAAAAAAAAAAAAAAGGAACGCACGATACCAAGAAATTAATGATTATTTTCATAAGGGTGCTTTGTTTACACCCTCATCATACTTTTCATACACTTCCTAATAAAACTTTTTGTTACTAAATTACTAGTGTTTTAAAAAATACACATTACACACCCCGTCTCAAAAAAAAAAAAAGATTGTTTTCCTAATATATATATATATCCTCCTTGTTTTCTATATTGATTGTATATAAACTGTCTACCATCGAGAGTATATAAACTCTCTTCGTCTTTTTTTTTTTTTTAATGAATACGTTTGCATAGTTATACCATTTGCTTTTTTAATAACTATATATTATCATCATATAATGCAAAATATTATATGTACCACTACGTTTGGATTCTCTTTTTAATTTCTACTGTATTCACATTTTTGCAACTTTTTTTTTAAGAATCAGATAATATGACAAAAGTAATGATCATGTGTAGTGTAAAAAAAGAAAATAATTGGAAAGGGAAAATAATCGTTAAAAAAAGAAAAAAAAAAAAGAGATAAGTTTAGTTAGTGGATGGGTGAAAAAAAAAAAAAAAGAAAGAAAAATGATACAATTTAATTCAAGAGAAATTTTTAAAATTTTAAGAGAAGTGTAACAAATAGGATTAGGGGGATGTATTCTTTTATAAATGTTCCTTGAAGTATGATCATTTTTCAAAGTACCCCTAGATTTTTTAAAATCACTTAAACACCACCCCCACCCACCCATCCCCACCAAATATCTCGAAACCATTAAAAAGGCTCCATATGCCAATTAAAGTTTGAGGAGAGAAGTGAAGGAAAAGAATAGCACTTTATAGGTTATTAGACTTCCATCTTAAAATATTAACTTTTTTAAGTGGGATAGCTTAATATGCTTATATGGATGTGATTATATTTGTATTTAGACGATGTGAAACTCGAGTATTTTACCCTTAACACTCCCCTGCAAGATGGTGCTACGCTAGGAATCACTAATCTTGTATTTTTTATGGATCCCAGCTTGTTTGAGCTATATATAGGCTCTGATACCATATTAGAGTTTGAGGAAATAAGTGAGGGAGAAGAATTGTACTTTTTATGTATTGAGCTTTCATCTTAAAAGGTTAACCTGTTTAAGTTTGGTTGGTTTGTTTTTTTTTTTTTATCCAACTTGTTTGAGCAATGAGCTCTGATACCATATTAGAGTTTAATGAGAGAATTGTGGGAGAAGAATTGCACTTTATAAGGTATTACGCTTCCATCTTAAAAAGTTAACCTGTATGAGGAGGGTAACTCAATATCCTTATATGGTTGTGGTTATGTTTATATTTAGACGATGTGGGACTCGAGTATTTTACCCTTATCACGCTCCCACAAGATGGTGCTATGTTAGAAGTCACAAATCTTGTACATTGACGGATCAACCCAACTCGTTTAAGCAATAGGCTCTGATACCATATTAGACTTTGAGGAGAGAAGTGAGGGAGAAGAATTGCACTTTATAAGGTATTAAGCTTTCATCTTAAAATGTTAACCTGTTTTAGTGAAGTGACTCAATATCCTTATATGGTTGTGATTATGATTGTATTTAAACAATGTGAGACTCAAGTATTTTACCCTTAATACGTCTCCGCAAAATGGTGCTCCGTGATGTATTTTGTATTAATCGACTCAACTTGTTTGAGCAATAGGCTCTCATCCCACTTGCATCTATATGTCTAATGGATGTAGTGACATGGTATGCTACAGGGGGTACAATGAAAAATGTCAAGGGGCGCACTTAAAATTGGTCAATAAGTCAGGCACGGATAAATAAATCGTTAAAATGTAAAAAATAAATAAATAAATAACAATATTAATATGATTAATGGTATATCTATCAACTATAATTAATAAAAAGTCAATTATATATCAACTTTATTTAGTTACTCGAAAAGTAATATGCTTCTAATGGAAATTTATAAATTGAAAGTTCACTCTAATTTAAATCATTTTTTTTTTTTGTTAAATATTTGTTCTAAAACTTAATTATTATAAAACTCAACCTGTAAATACGCATTTGAAAATGCCCAAAATTTAACAAATGACGTCAACTCACATGATCTTTCTAGCCGTCCAGACAAATTTCAAACAACTAGTTCCGACTGCTTAGAAAATCAAATGGGCATAATGATTAAAATATTTTCAAATGGGCTTACAATTTGAATTTCGTAATGATTAAGTTTCAGGAAAACTATTTTACAAATATTTGATCTAAATTAAAATATATCAATATTAATGTAATTAGAATTTGTAATTTAATTTTTATTATTATGATTGACAAATATGTCATAATCATAATAATTTTTTAATAATATCTTTGTACATTGTAAGATTCATTTAATAAATATCCTTCAATTTATTGACTAATTTTTAATGTGCTCCCTAAAGTTTTCTTCAAGATAGTGCACGTCACGTCAATAAATTTATTATATATAAAGACAGAAATGCACAGAGAGAC